TTTATTAAAGGAAATATTAGAAACACATTTGTTAATAAACAAAATATTAGCCTAGCATTTTAAAAGGTCTAGTTTCAGTTCACAGGAATGATTCATAAAAGTTCTGTTTGGTTTTTTTAGAAACCAAAGAAACTTTTAATAGAAATCAAAAAAACACAGACCAGGAAAAAAACAACAACAACAACAACCAACATAAACACATTTGTAACACACAGTTGGAAACATCCTCATATGCATGGACATTTATGAATCATAGACAAATATAAATGTGATTATTTAATTAAATTACAATCACTGCAATTTACTGTTGTAACATATGAAGTTTTTCATTTTGACTGAATTTTTATAAAGAAAAGAATGGAAGCACATTTTGAGGAAAATAATCCACATTTTATAGATAAGAAAATTTATACTAGTCTAAATTTATATATTTAAAAGTAGTTAATACTAAATTCAGAATATGAATATTTAGATTAGAAATCTACTGCATTCCCTAGTAAACTGTATTACATATACCAATGGTCATGATTTAGAGTTAGGAGGGAAATATTTAAGTCATAACGACTTTGGGATGGAAATAAATTGAACACTTAAGTCACAATTTTGAAGAAAACAAATTGGAAAAACATTAATATTTAATTTGTTTTCTTCATTCTGTATTGATAGTCGGGAATCTACTGCAGTGGTATATTTCACCATTCTGTGTTCTCTAGAGCCCATCCTAGTGGCATGCATGTAACATACTTTTCAAATGAGCTTACTGGATAAAATGGGTTCTTTCTCAGTCATGGAGAATCCTCTAATATCATAGCAACAAACTTGCAATTGCACAGAATGACATATACCAATACTTTCACTGCATCACTATCTGCATAGAGGGCACTCAGCTAATGTGAGCTGCTTTCACATTGGTATTGGGTAAAACATGGATGATTTTTAAATAGTGTAGCTTCTGCTAGAAATCACATGCATCGGACTGCCAGCATGCTGTGTGTTTTGTTTTTGCTTCTGTTCTGTTTTTGATCTTCAGAAAGGATTCAAATTTACATAATTTCCTTAATTGTTTCTCAAAAACACAATTTGCCAAGTCAAATAACTCATTGCAGATTAAGTAGTGAAGTCATAGAAATAATAAATTACTTTCCAAATTTCATGTTTCTAGAGGGCCAGAAAGCGGATTCATATTTAAATTTGTCTAATTGCAATATATTTTATTTACTCTGCCCTCAAAAATATTTAAAATTAAACAAACAAAGAAAAACAGAAACAGATTCATAAATACAGAGAAAAAAATGACGTTTGCCAGAAAGGAAGGAGGTGTGCAGAAGGATGGGTAGGCAATACAGATGAATGGATGAAATACAAACTTCCAATTATATAATAAATAAGTGGCAGGTATGAAAAGTGAAGCCTGGGTAATGTAATCAGTAATATTATAATAACTATGATGACACATGGTAACAACACTTACCACGGTGAGCATTTTGTAATGTATGTAATTGCCAAATCACTTTGTTGTTCTTGTACCCCTGAAACCAATATAATATTGTATGTCAGTTATACCCCAATTAAAAAAAAAAAAAACCTGATTGCTAGAAATAAAGCATAAAGATAAAAGTAACAATAGCAGTAATAGAAATGTTTCATTAAGAACTTCAAGAACAGAAGAAAATGCTTCCAACACACTTGAAAATGTTTACATTTTATAGATAAAGTTATTCTCATTAAAAGGGTAACATCCTAACCGGATGGTTGTGGGAAAGAAGAGAAACCCAAAAGAACTTGCCAGTTGCTAATTTAGAATTATCTAGTTATTAAACAGAAAATACCAGAATGCAGGCAGGTTAGACTGCCGGAGGATACAAAGCCATAGTGGGTTTTCAGCTTCTAACTATTGGGAATTAAAGGCACAGTTTTTTTTTTTGTTTGTTTGTTTGTTTGGGTTTTTATTGGTCAGAGAGAGAGCGAGAGAGCACAGGCAGACAGAGAGGCAGGCAGAGTCAGAGGGAGAAGCAGGCTCCCTGCTGAGCAAGGAGCCCAATGTGGGACTTGATCCCAGGACGCTGGGACCATGACCTGAACCGAAGGCAGCTGCTTAGCCAACTGAGCCATCCAGGCGTCCCAAAAAAGGCACAGTTTTTAGACATCATACTACTCTTAGTAAATAGACCGCATGTATTCAATTTCCATTGGTAATGACAGTAAGCTTACTCCAACATTCTGTTTTTCCTAACTCTTCATCAGTACCTCCTGCGGTTGTGCCAGGCAGGACATGGCACAAGGATATTTAGTCGCAACTGCACCAAGGTTAAATTCAGTTCAGCTTCCCCCACAGAACACCTAAGGGTAGTAGGTCTACAGACAAACCGGCATTTGTCTGATGCTGAACACTGTGCTTTTAATCAGTAAGTTATGGAAGAGTAATTATACATTGGAGTAATAAAATAATATTCGATCAACATAGGATCTATTTCCATCTAGAAGCATTGAGTCTCTGTACCCCAGTATGGAATAGTGGAAGGCCATTCCAGTCCAGAGTTCAGCAGGAGCAAGACAAGTGGGGACAATGAGAAGGCAAAATGTTGAATGTGGTCAGATGCCTAGCTGTTCTTTTATTCTAGCCTTTCTTCAAGATGTAGTCTTTCCAGAATCTTCTACAAAACAGGTTTTTGCTTTCTTTACCTTTCTTTCCTAACTTCACTAAGGTTGCTTCTAATTCTGCTTGCTCAGAAAATGAACAGAGGGAAATTTACTCAGGTACAATTAAGGCTGCTGATACTAATGATTAGAGCCAATAAAATTATTCTTGTCTCAGGCTTCTAGAACAGATTACTTTGTCTGCTCTGAAAAGGTGAGCAAGTGCCTAGTTGGGAAACACAGGAATACATGAAAAAAATCATAGATGACATTTAGAGTAGAAGAGATATGTTTATATTCTGGCAAGAGTAAGGCCACAAATACCATATAATAAGCCTTGGTAAATTGCACAGCAAGTATGCTTTATTGTCATTTTCCATACACGCTAAATAATCTAAGTACTTAAAATTTTAGAATCAACTTTTAATTCTATGGACATTGGGATTTGCAACAGATTACATTGAATACACACATCAATTCAGAAGGGTTGGTTTTATTTGTGATATTGTATCTTTCTAACCACGCACATGATACAGCTCTTAATTTCTTTAACGAAGTCTAAAACTCAACTTATACAACATTTCAGTAAAATGTTCTGCATATAGGTCTTTCACATCCTTTGGTAGATTTATTTATAGCTTTCTTATAGCTCTGTTAATTAACTTTAGTTAGTTTTTCACCATTAAGAATAATGTACACTGTAGTTTTGTTGTTGGTTGTTTGATGTACCCTTAATCAGTTGGAGAAAGCACATTTCTACTTATTTGCTGAGATTTTTTGTTTTTGGTCTTTTTTGTTTGTTTTGCTAGGTTTCATTGAGTTTATCATGTATGGCTATTACATCCTATTTCTTTGTTTTTCTGTATGTCCATCCTTTAATTACTTTTGTTTTTCCATCCTTCAATTCATTAAACATGTGAATAATTTTTACCCTTTTAAAAATGTCCTTCCTCGTTTCTTCCTTTGTATCTTCCTTCCTTCCCTTTGTTGCTTCCTTCCTTTAATGCTAAATGAAGCAAGTGTGGAACTAAACTGATAAAGATAGTTTTTTTGTTTGTTTGTTTGTTTTGTTTTTTTAACGCAACAGTGGAATGGGTTTGCTATCATTTTGTTTAGGCTATTTACATGTAAAGTATCTCGTGAGTGAGAATGTCTGGTATTGATATCAACAGGTCATAAGCCAAAGAAAACACACTTTTCAGTATTTCCTCCTTCCTCCATTTTCTGGGAAAAAGATGTTTAGGAATGAAATTACCTGTTTCTTTAACTTTAGGTAAAATAACCCAGACCTGATTTTTTTTTTTTTTTTGCTTTAGAAAAATTATGTTTTAAATGAAATTTGATTTTCTTTAATTACTATAGTACTCCTCAGATTTTCTATTCCTTTTGGAGACACCTACGGCATTTTTTATTCCATCCATGTTCTTATTAGTGTTAGTATCATCTATATATGTCTATGTATATCCATACCCCCTTTTTTCGAATATACCGTCTCATATTCGACTTTGATAAACTGATAAATTTATCTAGAATTTATCTTTTGTTTCATTAATCCTTTTAAAAATTAGTCTATTTAACATTAATTTTGGACTTTTAAAAATTAATGACAAAAACATCAGTAATAAAAATATTTATATTTAATTTTCCTGTTATTAATTCTGCATGTATAGCTTTAACTTGTAAAATAAACTGAACATTTGCCTTTTCCTTACATCTCAGAATTAGCAAAATTGCTGAAAAATGGGAAGACTGTGTTTAAGAAATATTTTAAGGTGTTAGTTATAATATTTTGAAATCTACCAGAGTTATATATTAATTCTATGAAAAGTTCTGATTTCAATTATTATTTCTCCCCAAGTATGACTTAACATCCCACACTGCATGAATTTTTCTATAAGAATAAAATTATTCTTTGTGCAAAAATGGCAATTTTTAAATTTCCACCAAATTTATTTAAATTTAAAAACTCAAACTTTTTTTAAAGATTATGTAATTTTTTTTTTGAACCAACTGCTATGCTTTTCTTAGATTAATGATGAAACCAATTGTTCATCCCTTGGACTCTGACAGCATACAATGAATTCTGACAACTTTCTCTCACTCCAGTTCCTGAGTAACATGTAATTTCCTTGGTATGACAAATAATCATTTTAGCATGCAGGTCATGCCTTGGTGTTCGTTTTTCATTTTTCTGTAAGTTAATGAATTCTAGCAAAGAGTGCCATCATAAAGTTGCCCTTTGCCAAAAGTCCTGTTGCAGCATATGGAGCTAGTGACAAGCTACAGTATTAAGGAGATTTGTTTTAAACCAAGCCTCTAAAATGTGCATGGAAATACTAAATAAATTCCTGTGTGTTTTGCAGACAATCCTGGTTTGCTGAGCCATGTCACAGTGGGTATTAGAGTTCTGGATGTCAATGACAATCCACCCGAACTTGCCAGGGAATATGATATTGTTGTCTGTGAAAATTCAAAGCCTGGCCAGGTAAGTTAATTGTTTCCTTCCTATCATTGGACTGGAAGAAAAACAAGCAGCTCTATTTCTATTATTTTTGGGTATAATCCTCAAAATCCTTCAATGTTATTTTTGTGCTCAGTTGAAAATAATGTTATAAAGCTTTATTCTAAGTACCAAATAGATTTTTTTGAGAATCGTTGAAAAAAAATTTTCTCCAGAACCCAAATATAAATCTAAAAATGAACTCATTCATGCATACTTTCATCATACCAATAAAATTATATTGAATGCTTTGTGTGAAGCCCTGTATTAAATGAGGAGGAAATTGTGAACTTTCTTGTACTAATGAAGCTTTGAGACAAGGTTATGGAGAATGGACTGATGTGGTCCATTTTGGAAGGCCTGCAGGAGTGACATGTGAGTGACCATTGAGTAATATTGGTACTAAGAGATGATTAGGTTGGAACAACAGAAAGGGTCTATATGTATTAAGAACATGGGGACAGCAGAAGAAGCAGAAAAGACCTTGAACGGGGGTCATGAGTTTGGATGGAGCATGGCAGCTAGCTAAAAGAGCATGGCAGTTCTGAGGGAAGCCCAGTGTGGCTGTGGCACATAAAGAAAGGAGAAGTCTGAAAGGGGACACACATTTGTGTTTTTTTGTTTGTTTTGTTTTGTTTTTTCTGCTTTGTAACAAATTACACAAACTTAGCAGCTTCACACAATACTTATTTGTGATCCCAGAGTTTCTATAGGTCAGATGTCTGCTCATGGCTTAGTTTGATCTTTGCAGGGGTCTCATAAGACTGCAGTCAAGGTTTCAATAAGGATCAAGTTCTTACTTGAGGCTTGAAATCTCTTCTAAGCACACCTAGTTATTGGTAGCATTACATTTCTTTCAACTATAAACCTCAGAGCTTTAGGATTTTTGATGTTTCCTGGAGTTTCAATATCCCACCCACAGTTTCTTGCTATATGTATGGGTTTCCTCAATAGCCATTTCATCAAACAAGTAAGGAGAGATCTGTAAAGTCTGTTAGAAAATAGTCTTGTAAAATGTAATGTCATCAGGTGAAGGATGTATCAAAACTTTTGCCATATTCTGTTGGTCAGAAGCAAATCACAGGTCACACCCAGACTTAATGAAGAAGGGACTATGGGGAGGCATGGATTCCATGAGGAGCACTTTAAAGTCTGTCACAGGTAGGGGTGCCTGGGTGGCTCAGTAATTAAGCGTCTGCCTTTGGCTCTGGTCATGATCCCAGGGTCCTGGGATGGAGCCCCACATCAGGGCTCCCTGCTCAGTGGGAAGCCTGCTCCTCTCCCTCTCCCACTCCCCCTGCATGTGTTCCCTCTCTCGCTGTGTCTCTCTCTGTCATATAAATAAATAACATCTTTAAAAAAATGTACAAAATAACCATAAAAATAAAGTCTGTCACAGGTGGATCTAGAGAGATGGAAAAGGTCTAGGTCCATTGGAGTCAGATGGTCCCTTTTACTGTTTTTGGCAAACTAGAATGACTGTTCATCCAAAACTACTTTATATTTCAAAAAAAATTTGGAGGGGGGAAAGGGCAGAGGGAGAGACAGACACACAGAAACAGAGAGAGAAAATGTTAAGCAAGCTCTACACCTACATAGAGCAGAACATCGGACTTGATCTCACAACCCTGAGATTGTGACCTGAGCCAAAGTCAAGAATCAGACTCTGAACAGACTGAGCCACCCAGGCACCCCCATCCAAAACTACTTTAATTCATTTTAAAGTTTGTCTTAAATTATAGTACTGAGAAGCACTGCCCATGTATTTTTGTAGAAAGAACAACCAATGATGTGCTAAAGTAATCATTGTTTATGTTTTAATACTTTCTGAGGAGGTATTTGTGTAGATATAAATGGAAAACTGTTTTTTTCATATTCATTGCCCATAAGAAAATTAGAAAATATAAGGAAAAAGTGAATGAGAATTGTATCCAAAAGTAATACAGATTATGTATTGTATTATATTATATTATGTTATGTAACAGTTAATATATTAATATATATTATGCAATATATTGAGATGATCACTTCAGAAGCTTAAGCATTTTTCCGTACCACCATGTCAAAAGCAGGAAGGAACTTTTCAGTACAAATATCTAATGATTTATTTACCGAAGCCTATTTCAGTTGTGTCAGGGCCACAAAGCAAGTTTTAATAATTTGAACAGGATTGGTTGGCTTCATTATTTTCTGTATGACAATAAATAAATAAATAAATAAATAAATAAACAAATAAAGTGAGATACCAATTCAAAAGTATTGCTAGGGAAAAAAAAATATTGCTAAAAAAATCCATTGGAAATAAGGACACCTAAATAAGCTAAGAATCACTTAAGCAATAAAAATGAAAAATATTTAAATAGAATAATAGTGAAAATACATTGTATTGAAAAGGACAAAAAGGGAAATTTGTTTTCTACTCTTTTTATGATAAGACATAACTTTAATATCAGAATCGATCAAGGATATAATCCCTACAGAATCTTGGTTTCTTTGATCCATAGGTTATTCAGAGAATTCAAAATTAAATCATTTGAATGTGATACAGACTTAAAATCCAAACTTAAGCTAATAATTGCATCAACCATTTTTAGATATTCTCTTTTTAGGTAATACATTTCTTTTTCTCTTTCTTTCTTTCTTTTTTTTTTTTTTTTTAACTTCAAGGTAATTTCAAAATTTTTAGGATAGAGTGAGATGCTGTATTGGGAACAATACATACTTGCTAGTCCTAGCCACCTTTGCAGGTAAAAGCACTGAAATTTGGGCAAATAACACTCTGTCCTTGTTCTTGATTTTTCTCCTGTGAATGTTCACATGTGTTTCTAAATCTAAAACACTGGTATTAGATTTCTAGATTGCACTCTCTCCATATTGGCCAGTGACCCTGACCTTTTCCATTGACCTCTTGATTCCAAGAAAGCTTATTCATGCATTCTCTCCAGGTCATCCTCTCCTGTCAGTGCCAACTTGCTAGCCTGGGTCCTTCTGTTTTACCCTCCGCACTGAAGACCTAAGCTTCATAGCATTTCTAAGAAATGATTTATGCGACATCGACAAATGCTTTCTTCATCTCTAAAATAAAGAAAATTGTCAGAATTTTAGGGAGCTTCCAAGCCTGAAATTTTGAGTATATGACTAGATGAGTCTCAAATTCCTTTAAATGTGGATTATTTTATTCTCCTCGGGCATGAGAAGCCATTCCATTTTGTAGAGAAGTCTAAATTTGTGATAAAAATATATCTTTATCTTCTGGCTCCCCTTAGCCTTTTAGATAGTATTTTCCTTTTCTTCAGAGAACTGTTACTGTTTTCAGAAAACAATCACTAGACTTAACACCCTTAAAATCTAATGTATATAGATTTATTTATGTGATTATGGCTATTATCCTTTAAAAACTGTATTCATAGTTAGCATCATTGCTATCTTTAATATTGTATGATTTTAGAAGTCACATTAAGATACTTGGGTTCTTTATATTGCTTAAGTATCTGTTTCTCTAAACATTTGTTTCACCAAAATGAATTAAAACTTTTTACTGAGGTAATGAAAAGCCATTTGAAAATATATTTATTATACCCTTATTTAAACAAACCATTGTCAATCTGTGTGGTCAATTTGTATGATTAACCTATTACAAGGGAAATGGTCTGAATCTTTCTATTCTTTAATTTTGCTGCCTTTGGTTCATTTAACCTTACGTTTGTAGCATTTCTGGAGAAACTTTGTGTGTTTTGATACAGAGTAGGAATAGGGAACTCTATTTAAATAATGATTTGTTGAAATAGGTTTTCTGAAGCATATTTGTACAGCCCAGCTGTACAATGTCTCCTCTTTCTGTAACAATTGCTTTTAGAATTACAGGCATCTATATTATGGATGCTTTGTGTCTAAATATAACAGCATGTGGCCATGGAAGAGAATGGTGTCTTTTGTGAAGCAGAAGTTTAAACCACCTATAAGAGCAGAGTTCACCTTGAATCGGGTATCAATATACCTGAACTGCAACAATATATTTCTCTGACTTAATAAATTTTCCCATTCTGTAAAAAATATATAGAGATCTCTCTCTCTATCTCTCTCTCTCTCTCTCTCTATATATATATATATATATGTATATATATACATATATATTTTAACTACCCTGCATGAAAGAAATATTAAGAAGAAAACCATGCATACATGAAATTTGAAGTCAATTCCCGAAGTAAAGTGAATTCATAATAAATGAGATGGGTCTACCCATAGAAATGGAAATATAAATGACGGGAATTCTTTCTATCTTACTGATATTGACTTTGCCCTGTGTGTGTGTGTGTGTGTGTGTGTTTCATTACAAAGTAAACTTAGGAAACATAACATTTATCATAGAAAATTATATTACCTAACACCAACCTACCTCCATCAGGTCCACTTATTAACAATAAACTTTGTATGAAAAAAGTACCTTGATCAGTAGAGATTTTACACCAAGATTTTATAAAGATCAGGGGTGCCTGGGTGGCTCAGTGGATTAAGCCACTGCCTTCAGCTCGGGTCATAATCTCAGGGTCCTGGGATCGAGCCCCACATAGGGCTTTCTGCTCAATGCGGAGCCTGCTTCCCCCTCTCTCTCTGCCTGACTCTCTGCCTACTTTCTCTCTGTCAAATAAATAAATAAATAAATCTTAAAAAAAAAAAAAAGATTTTACAAAGATCAACTCATTGAACCAACAGAAATTAGTGTTATTATTAAATAAATGTATGATCCGACTTGAGATTATATTATAAAGCAAATTCATTGATTAATTTAAAGAAGATACACCCTGGTGGTGGGTATTATGGAGGGCATGTATTGCATGGAACACTGGGTATGGTGTATAAACAATGAATTTTGGAACATGAAAAAAAATTAAATTACATTTAAGAAAATAAGATACAATGTGCTCCATAGAATATTCTTTTAATTTAAATGTTTAGTTGCACTAGCTCATTTACCTAACATTGTTTGTGTATATCTGTGACACTGACTACTTTGATGTTTTCCCCCTTTAATAAAGCACTCAAGAAGTAACAGACCATAGAAAACACATTTAAAGAGGGTGATAAATTTATTTAATAAAAGAAATACAACATTGATTCTAATTAGTTTATGCTAAAAGTGAATCATTATTCATGGGCATTACCAAAAACTACAGCTTGTTATTATTAATAAATACCAACTATCAATTTGGACTCCCTCCCCGCTTTAGTAGAATAAATTTATGACTGTGTTTCTCTCAGAACTTTCAAAATAATCAAACACTTTATGCACTAATTACATAATATGCACAAGATAGAAAAAAATCCAAGTTCAGTTAAAATGATGAGAGACAGAAAATAAATTGTTATGGATTGTACATCACCCACAAGTTACCACAAATTACACAAATGGAGGGCACATGTAGCACAGTGTAGATAAATCATAACTAACAAAAGGGTAGAAAATATTGATGACAGATACATGGCACTTATCTAGATATCTGCCAGAAGCTTACATCTTTTAAAAATCACAGACATGTTCACTTCTGAGGTGGTTTTCCTAATAAAAGTCTAAGGAAACAATAAATTGAAATCTATCTTCTCCTGAAAGGAAAGGTGATTAGTAAACAGAAAAATTAAATAGACCTTTCCCCGTCAAGAGGATAAGAGGATATCTCCAAGTTTTAGATAAAAGCCAAGCAACATTCTAGGTTTTTGGAAGTATTTTTCAGAAGCATTATAGACGAATAAGTATGGATGCATGAGGCACATTCTGCAGGAATTCAAGACGAATGGCTCACTCATAAACAAAATGTAGCCATCAGCTCATTATTTGCTATGGAAACAAGATCAAGAAGTTTTTGAGAAGACAAATTTGCCGTGACTGAGCTTCCTGGTAAATTCAGATTTGAAATTACTTGTACAAAAATGGAAAGTATATTTTACTAAAGATAACAATAAAATAGTAAAGCTACATTATGAATTATATCAGTGTTTAACAAGTAGAATAACTTGTTTGTAAAAATTTAAAATGGGAAGAAAATTGTTGTCCTAAAGAAGTCATAAGAGGAAATATAAAATAATTTAGTTGGTTTAAGTTAATTGTTCTTTGCCAATCTCTTCCAAAATCACATTCCAAAATAAGAAGTGAATTTGCAAACATGTTAGTAGGTTATGAGGTATCATCGAGAAAATAGGATTGTGCATTGGAGAATGACAATGAGCAAGGATTAGGAGAGATAGGACATTCATTTTCAAAAAGAAAAACGTGTGTCTATTTCATTTACCCCTGAAGACAGTCTTGAAAACTTGATATTTTTATTTCAGTTTAATATTAAGTACCTGAAACGTAGAGAACGTAAGTATGTTTCTCAGATTACACGCACTCTGAACTCCATGGAGCTTTCCATGCACTCAAGAAAAATTGTCAAATTTCTTCTGATTATCCATCAATTTATTCTACTATCAAGTCAAAGCCAATAAGAAGGGGGAAAAAAGATTTTATCCAGAGACCAACTGTAATTTAAACAAAAAAGAAAGCAACAAGGAGATATGTAGATTTTTCATCTTAAAATTAATAGTCTGAAGTGAAGTTAAGAAGAGAAGAATGATAGAGACTTCTTGGGATATGTGGGGGTTGGGGGAAGCTTTTACCTAAATTTCTTGCTGAGAATACATTCTGAGCAATAGAGAGCATTATGCAGATATGGATAAAATAGATCACTTTCTATATAGCCTAAAGCACTTTCTTCACTTCCCCCTTCATGAAGACACATGCTTTTCTGGTCCTACGGTTACTGATGACTCCTTCTTAGTACTTTTACATTCATCTTCATCTCCCTGACCGACTAATGGACTCAATCCATGGGGGAATTTAGCTTTTACCTGCTGTACGTATTGGTATACTATTTCACTTGGAAAAGATTGAAATGGGATGAAATTGAACGAGATGTTTTTAGAAATCATAGCAATTTTTGAAATGAACACAGTATATTTCACATGCAGGAAACACTCTCTTTTTTAAGATTTTATTTATTTATTTGAGAGAGAGAGAACATGAACAGAGGGGTTGGGGTGCAGGGGAGGGGCAGAGAGAGAGGGAGAAGCAGGCTCCCTGCTCAGTACAGGGCTTGATCCCGGGACCCTGGAATCATGACCTGAGCCAAAGGCAGACACCTAACCACCTGAACCATCCAGGCACCCTAGGAAACATTCTTTTTACAGCTTCTTCTCCCTCTCTTTCTTTTAGTTTCTCTAAGGAAGGGCTAGAAAAAGGACACCTAAGCATTAGTATTTTTTTTTTTTTTTAAAGAGGAAAATATTATCTTGTGTATTAGTTTGGATACTTCCTTGCTAAGAGTGTAATGGCTACCGCTATGGAATTTGCATTGTTTTTAAGCCACCTGGAAGAGCCATTTATATATTCTAAATTTCTCTGCTCCATGATGCGCATAGTCCGAATTTTAGAATTGCTTTCTCTCAGCACTGTAAATGAGAAGTATTCCATAAAACTGTGAGTGGTCTGGTTTTGCTTCTGCTACCATTTTAACAGTTTTGAGGCACATCACAAACCTTTAGGGTCTCACATTCCTTATCTTAACTATGTTAACATAGAGGGGCTAGGTCATGCTCTCAAAGGTCCCCTGAAATGGTAAAAATAATATGGCTCCACTGTTTTTGCATTTACCTACTGAGAGCGACATACACTGCAAAGCTGTTCTACAGGAACACTAGGATATTTATATTTGTACAAACAATACTTCCTGTTTCCTCAAACAGGTGTTCTTACGAAACCTTGCAGTTAATTGGCCCCAAGTTACTGTAGGTGATAAAGAAAAAAAAAAAAAATTAAGCGTTGGTGCTATGCTAGAAAATAAAGCATGGATGATTATAAATTGTTCCATAACCTGTTTCCTAAGATCTCATGCAAGTACAGGCCAGTTAGCTGGGACACTTATTACTCGAATTTTAAAAGACTGAGGGTGGATAAAGGGGTCTTTTAAAAATCCTTTTATGATGGCAATTAAAAATGCTATAATATAATTAAAATCAAAGGAATAAGTCAAATTAATTTTCCTATTTAGTCTTTGTTTTTTTTTTCAGGTAATTCATACCATCAGTGCCACTGATAAAGACGATTTTGCAAATGGACCAAGGTTTAACTTTTTTCTTGATGAACGCCTATCTATAAACCCAAACTTCACTCTGAAGGACAATGAAGGTGAATGTGATTTACATATACTTTCTAACCTATGTGATATCTGTTTTGACTTCATGTGGAATAGGCCTGAGCAGTTTTGCTTTATGCGTACACACCCATGAACAGCTTGCAAATCAGCATTCAAAGTCAGTTTGATGTTAATGTGCTATGATCTGTGAATAGCTTGTATTTAAAATTGAGCCATATGTACAAATAACTTTCATTGAGTTTATTCAGAAGCATCCCTTTAAACAAGAGATGTACATGTAATATGCTTTTGGGCAAATTTTAAGAGAAATCTTAGCTGACAAACATGTTTATGAGAGTTGCTTGCAATTGCTAGGAGGTAGAAAAATTTTAAATTAGGAAAAATGAAAAATATGTCCTAGGGACAGTTAGGAAAGGAAATGCAATGTTTGAACTCATCTTGCATTAGCAAGGCTATCAAGATGTGGTATACAAATTATATTTCCTCTTGTTATTATGAATATTTTTCAAAATGTGGGTAGAAAATATGCATAATTGCAGAATATTGTGGAAATTTTGAATTGCTTTTGTTTAAACTTCTGTATTGTGTGAAGGAAAAAAGAACACCATAATTTAGTAACTAGAGAAGATTCTCATGTTTTAGGTTCCCTGTTCGGTAGATTTCTCAAGGTTGCGTAAAATTCCACCTTTCTATAAAGGAAGCATTAAATCAGTCAATATGTGCAGTGTTCTGATTTGTATCAACTTTCTTCTTCCCTAAAACTATCTTTGATCATGCTTATCTGAATATGTTATTATTTGGAATTTAACACTAGCCTCAAAATCCTGTTAGAGAAACAATGACAGATACATTTAGGAGTAACATTTAATTCCCTTTCTGTACCCTCAGGGAGACATATTATATATATAATATCACTAAATGTCAACTCACTAAAACATTATGTCCATTTTCCTTAGCTTCTTTAAATTATCATAACAAGGATACCAAATTGTACATGGTTTACATGAAAATCCAAAGCTGCTTATTCTTCTCTCTCATTTTAACTTCCTTATGATCAGCTCTGCCTATGGAAATACTATATTGAATATAGTATTTATGGTATTTAATACTATATGGAATATAATGTAATATGAAATATTATATGGAAATACATATTTGTGCATGTTTTTATATGATAAATTATAATAATTGATCACTATACATTTATATACATTTGGACATCCCATCCTACGATACTAAATATATTTAATGTAATTAACTATGGGAAATATGTAAAAAAAATTAATGTATATTTCCCATATTTCAGATAATTGTGTAATTTGGGGAGCATTCAACTTTCTGTCTTGGTCAGTTAAAATCATACCTCAATCCCTATATTTATATTTCAGTTGTTTCTTTTGCCATTTTTTAAAAGATTTTATTTATTTATTTGACAGACAGAGATCACAAGTAGGCAGAGAGGAAGGCAGAGAGAGAGGGAGAAGCAGGCTCCCCACTGAGCAGAGAGCCTGATGCAGGGCTTGATCTGAGGAGTCTGAGATCATGACCTGAGCTGAAGGCAGAGGCTTAACCCACTGAACCACCCAGGTTCCCCCCCCCGCCATCTTTTCCCATCCTGATAAAGTTTTTATTTTACATTTTAAGTAATTTTAATTTGATAATACAATCATGAGGATTTGACTTGGATTTAAAGGTGTTTTATATTCAACTTATTTAACCTATGTAAGTATAATTCCAAAAGTATTTTTAAAAGAAACAAGAGAATTTTACTATTGTCGAGACCCACTTAGTGACTGAAAGTTCTTCATAAAAAATTTTATATCTGGGGTGCCTGCATGGCTCAGTTGGTTAAGCGGCTGCCTTCAGCTCAGTCATCATCTTAGGGTCCTGGGATCAAGCCCCATGTCAGGCTCCCTGCTTGGCAGGAAGCCTGTATCTCCCTCTCTTTCTGCCTGCTGCTCTGCCTACTTGTGCTCTCTCTCTATCTCTCTGTTAAATAAATAAGTAGATGAAGTCTTAAAAAAATTATATTTAGAATTTATGGTCTTAATGCATGGGTATGTTCAAAATGGCTTAATTCAATGATTTGACATCACTAGTGGTGGGAAGTCATTTTAAGGAGGTCCCCTCAAACATATGCACACTTTTAAAAGGGTTTATTGTACTGATGTAAATTTTTTTAACATTTATTTTAACCATATCAGTGAATGCTTAAGCCAGCTATACTATGTCAAGTATGTGAGGCCTCTAGACAGTTGTGTAGGGATAAAGAAGTTTTAATCTATGTGTAAGACTATTTTTAAGAAAATATTGGGAATTGATAAAATTATAAATAACACAGGAAAACTTATTTTGAATAAGTAACAACAGTTTCTAGAAAAGATTCAAAAACATAGCTGAAAACGTGTGCTTATGAAAGCAGACTTGATTATTCTAGATAAGCCAAGTCACCTAACTTTCCAATCTTCAGTTTTTACATCCACAAATTACGGTTTTTAAAATACCCACTTTAGGAGTGCCTGGTTGGGCTCAGTCAGTTAGGTGTATGACTCTTGGTTTCAGCTCAGGTCATGATCTCAGGGTTGTGAGATTGAACCCTGTGTGGGTCTCCATGCTGGGCGTGGAGTCTGCTTGAGATTCTCTCTCTCCATCTCCCTCTCCTTTTGCCCCTTGCCTCCAAAAATAAATAAATAAATAAATAAATAAATAAATAAATAAATACATGCATACATAAATAAATAGATAAAAAAATAAAATACTCACTTTGGAACATTGGGAGAATAATGATACCATATAAAAGATGCATTTTTCTCTAAACACAAGGCAGCTACAGATAATACTATATAGAGACAAGATTAAAAAAGGAATAGCCATACCAAAATGAATATACTCATATAAGTATATGGACCCTTATGATAAACATAAACACCAAAGCCAAACACAGAATTAAATCTATGCTATCATATGAGAGTTTAAAACTATTAAGCCTCAAAGATAAAGAGAAAGAAATTTATACTATCAAAAAGAAAATGCAAAATAATTAAAAAGCAATGATAGTTAGATTTTTAAAAATTTTTAAAGATTTTATTTATTTATTTTAAAGAGAGCCTGGGGTTGGGGGAGCCCAGAGGGAGAGGGAGAGTTTTAAGCAGGCTCTCTTCTGAGTGTGGAGCCTGGGAGGGGCTCATTCCACCACCCAGAGATCAGGACCTGAGCCACAACCAAGAGTCAGTTGTTTAATCGACTTGCCACCCAGGCACTCCAATAATTAGTAAACTAGATTCTTGGTTAAAAAACTAAAATAGCATAAGTTGATAAAAATCACCTGGTCAAAATGCTGATGAAAAATAATTTGCTAATATCAGCCTTCTCTACAGTTACTTAAAAATAGTAAACTATTAGGAATGAAGGAGGACTCATTATTAAAGATGTTTTCCAATGTATAAACATAAGTCTTTTACGTTTAACTACTGACATTTTGGCAAATATTGTGTTAGTCTTTGCCTTCGGGATCTCTGCAGAATATAACACATAAGAAAAGATCTTATAATTCATATTTCATTTCATATGTTAAAACTTGAAGAGTAAACCCTAAAAATTAACAGCATAAAAATCTGTATTTTCCAAAGCAAGAAAAGTTTTTCAGAAAACTTAATAATGAAACTTATTTTATCAGTAGAACAGAAGACCAGAAAGGAGAAGAAAAGATGGAAAATAAAAGCATAGAAAATGATAGAAAAAAGTAGATATTAATTCAAACATACAGTAGCCATTATCAAACTGAATATAATTTTTAATCAAAGCTATCTCATATTTAAATGTGTGTGTGTGTATATACTGCTTAGATGAACTATACCAAATACAAAATGATATAGAAAGTTTGATATAAAATGTTAGAAATAGTTAGCTTATTGCTTCAAAAGAAGCAACTATTGTTAGAAAAACAAAACAAATCCAAAACTTGGTGTCTTAAAACAAGATCTTTATTTAGGTCACATTTCTAACAATGAGCTATTTCTGATAGGTTCATCTAAGCAATTCTTCTGGTTTCAGGATAACTTCAGTCACTACACCTAAGCAGTATTGTACAGAACGTTCTTGATTCAAAAAGAAAGAAAAAAATGGAGAACAATAATAAGTAGAAACAAATTACAAGATTAACCTTGATGATGAAATTGCCTATATGAAAATTTAAGAGAACCTACAAAAACATCTTAAGTAATAATGGGATACTTTGCCAATTTTTTGAAATACTAATAAATACCTCAAAATGCATAGATTTCCTATATTTAAAACATATGGCTAAGTAATAAATCAGCTACAATTTAAAATGGCAAAAACAAATGAAATAAATTAGCCTCAAATCTTTCTGAATCATTATAGAAAAAAAATCCAATATATAATGTTCAAGTTTATCCTATGTAAAGAACAATGTTACTGAAAATATAAAACCATGCAAGAAATATATTTACCAAATTAATGAATCAGAGTGCTCAGATGTTCATATTAATTTATAAATTAAATATAGTTTTAATGACAAACTGAATTTAGTAATCTGTTAATAAAATGCAAATGGCAAACGATTAAAAAAAGCAAGAAAGTGTTGGAAAAAAAGATGAAGGAGATACATAGCTATCAGAAAGAAAAGAAAAGAGGGCATATCCTAACAGAAATCCAGACATTATAAAGATGAATGTAGTGCGGGTAAACCCAGACAGTTGGATTTTCTTTTTCTTTTTCTTATTTATTTATTTATTTATTTATTTATTTTTGGTAATGCAAGTGCATGACTTAGGCATCCATTGCGAAGGCATTCACTTCAAAGAGGCATCTACTTCAAAGGGATGTTCACTTCAAAGAGAGCTCGCTGGAATAAACATGTTGCCAGCCACAGGACTAGATGAAGATCCAGGCCTCTTCACCCTGCCTCCCGAGACTCTTTGTTTTAGACATCTTAATTGATTTTGATAACTGATCATTTGGGCCTTCCTCCCTCCCTCTCTCTCTCTCCCCTTGTTTTTTAAATTCCCCC